TGCCAAAGTCTTACGCAAGTTTTCCTGAAAAAAAAAAAAAATTCTTTGGCACAGCTGAGCACAGAAAGATTTTACACCAGCATGAGGTATTCCTCGTGCTCTCTGATGCTCTGTTTTAGCCACTATTAATAATTCCTCCATCTTTCTATATTTTGCAAAATGCTCTCCCCTAATTTTTTAAGCTAGATAAGAAGATTACAAGCCTTACTTGAAGTTACATGAAAAAGAGAAGGGAATTGCTGCAGAGATAGAGAAAACCTCCAGACTCATTATCCAGTTAACAACCAGGCACTCAGAAAGCAAATACCTAGGCCAGAGATGGAAACACACATCTGTAGTCCCAGCTACTCAGGAGAGGCAGGAAGATTACCTGGGCCCAGGAATTTGAGGCCAGCTTGGACAATATAGCAACACCCTGTCTCGAATACAAACAAACAAACAAATAAAAATAAAACAGCGGTTAAACATTATAGCTAACTGGAGGAAATAATACATGTGTCCTAATTTTCTTCAATCTGGGCATACCTGTGTCAGTAAATCACCACTGTGCATTTCTGAGATGTTAGAAGAGAGAACCGTAGCCTCAAATCCCAAGCAGGGCTAGCTTTCTCTCTGTGTTCTTTCTTCCATTTCATCATCTTTCAATAAAAATGAAAAGACAATATTCTGTAGTGATTAAGAGTAGCTCAGGAGCCAGACTTCAAGGTTCCAATTGCAGCTCTGCCACTGTAGAACCTTGGACAAGTTACTTTACTTCTCTGTGCTCAGTAGATACATCTGTAAAATGGGGAGAGTGCTGCCTTGTTTACTCAGTGTAAAAATTAGATCAGTTGGTATATGTGAAACATTTTGTATGGAAACCAGCCCATGGGAAGTACTATGTCAATATTTGCTACTATTATCTCAGACCAGTCTTTGGAGCATTAAAGGAATAGAATTCACCAAAAAAAATATTGGTTAAAACCCATGGAAGCAGGTGGAGTACCCTGTATAGAAACTGGCTCATCGGAAGTGCTATCTAAATATTTACCATTATTGTCTCAGTCTTGGAGTGTTAAACGACAAGAATTCACAAAAATATATGAGTAAAGTCTGCGGAAGTGGGAGGAAATAGAGAGGAAAATTTTGGAATAGCTAAAGAGAAGGCACAGAAAGCAAACAACAAAAAGTTGGTGTTTCCAAGAAATAAAAAAAACCCACCACAAGATATTGAAGCAATGGGCCAAGCAAAGCAAAACTGTTTTTTCCTTGTTCTACGGACTGTGGTGCTACTAGACTTTTCCATTTTCCGGTCTGGGTTTGTATCGCTGTATGTTTTATATCAAGAGCCTCAGACCCAAAAGGCTGGGTGTTGGGGCAATGGCACTTCTTACCGCCCCCTGCGTTCATGAATATGACCAGGACTCTCATCCTCTGTGGCCTTGGTCTCCATAGACCATCCCTTGAGGAGGTGAGGCAGCAAGAAGAGAGATAGGAGACTCCAGTTCCCCCCTACTCATGAGGCACCTCAAACTCAGAACCCATCACAGACGCACCATCCCTAAACACAGAATCTGCCTTGGGACCATGGGATGCAAAGGAAGGTAGAGGGAACTTCTGAGACAACACTGCTGGATGTCTGGAGGTCCAGAGAGAGGAAACACTTGGTCCAAAAGTCACTAGATATCTAGATAATTATCTTAACAGAGGGGACCACTGATAACTGAAATGCAAACACTCCTACTAAGCACACATTATTTCATTTGTAATTGTTATAATTTAACCATTTTTAAAATGTTCATTCTTTAAAAAGAAAAAAAAAAAAACAAGTACCAGTCATGGAGGTACACACCTGTAATCCTAGCAACCTGCAAGGATGAGGCAGGAGGATCGAAAGTTTGAGGCCAGTCTGGGCAACTTAGCAAAACCCTGTCTCAAAATAAAAAGGACTATGGTCCCTTTACAGTGGTAAAGAGACCCTGGTTTCATTCATTCTCCAGTACCAAAAAAAAAAAACAAAGCAAGCCACCAAGCCAAATACATCTCTCTTTAACTAAAATAGCAATATCATCTATGTAACTTCCCTATGACAGCTGCTGAGAACAGGACAGTACCAGCTGTCATCTGGCTCCTGCAGATATGGGACATGCTGTAGGATACTTGGGGGAACATGGATGCTCACTCAGATGTGAGTTTCAGAGGTTCAACATGCATCTGCAACATGCTAACAACTGTCTTTTAGGATCTGTTTGAGAAGACTAGAAATGATATATACCAGGTCCCTATGCACTTACGTAGGCCTTCAGCCTACCTATATCTTGTAGCTGAACCAACGAAAACATCCCATTTCCTCTCTTCCGTGTCTTACAATGTCTATCATCTTCTTGCAGGTCACAGTCAAAGGCGGCCTGCTCAGAGCCCAGCTGCTGAATGCTCAGCCACACAGGATCCAGGGCAAGGCCTCAGGTAGCCACAGCCAGAGGTACCAGATGTTGACCCACAGATCCTATTTCAAAAAAATTTTGTCTAACCAATTATTCTATATTTGTTTCCCACTTAAATAATCAAACTCTGCTGGGCATAGTGGTGCACTCCTGTGATCTTAGCGATTCAGGAAGCTGAGACAGCAGGATCAAAAGTTTGAGGACAGCCTCAACAACTTATTGAGATTCTGTCTCAAAATAAAATTTTTTTTTAAAAAGGGACCTGGGATTAGCTCAGGGGTAAAGGGCCCCTGGTTTCAATCATCGGTATCAAAAAAATAAAATAATCAAATTCCTGACTGCTAATTAGGGCCTCCAAGCAACAAGAGATAACTAATATTGCCAGACTGATTTATTATTTCAATCCAGAAACAAATATTAGCCAGAGCTGCCTGATTGTGAATGATAGTCTGCTCTCTGCCTCCTCTTTCCCTCACACTCAGCCCCTCATATTTTCTTCTGAGTCACTGGGATGCAAGAACCCGTACACAATGTGGGCCCGTAAAACTTAATACTCCAAAGCCACCATAAGGCCCCAAACTGGAATCTAGCAGAGCCACCACTGAGTTGCCCTCCCAGCAGCTAATTTATCTATGATCTGAAATTACATCAAATTTCCAAGGCCTCGGAAAACATTTCCCATGAGCAAGAAGTTAATTTATTTGCAGGGGGAAATGAATGGCTCCCTTTGCTTTCCTGACCCTCCCATAGGAACCAGGAAGCAACAGTAAGTGGCCCTGAAGAGAGAGACTCCAGACAGAGCCTTCACTTATGTAAGATGGCCTAACATCAGCCCAAGGGTGACAGAGGACATAAATTCTATAACCCATGCTAATGGGTCTAAGGATCTCTTAAGCTAAGGAGCACCCATGAGAGATCATTGGTTTTTATTTCTGTGTGACATACTTTAAGGGAGACGTGTGGAGATTGTGTATTTGGAATCAATTATGGAACTTTTGCTTTATGCAACCACAGGTAAGAAAATCGTCATTTAAAACGCCCAGATTAGGAGAGTTTGTTGTATTAGGACAGACAACAAAAAGAGCCCCTTCCCTTTCTTCTGCCTCATGTAATTTATTTCATGACAACTAGAATTTTCCTCGCTTTGTATTCTAAAAGAAAGGGGACTTAGCAATTGAATGACATCTTAGGATTGGAAAAGAGCAATGTTTAAGACCACCCCCCAAAAAAAAGGATTATTTGGAAGCCACAATCAGAAAAATTCATTTTTCAGTCAAAGCATATTCATTTTATCAAAGCACATTAACTTTAACAACTCCCAACCCACCCGAAAGCACTCAAAGTAATAAGAACCGTAAGAGAAAAGAAAAAAAAAAATCAGTTCATGAGGGTAATAATTTTCTCTTGCTGTCAGAGCAGCCCTGTTCTATAAAACTATCAGCCCCAGGCAGACTGGAGTCTCTCAGGCATCCTCCCTCCAACTCTGCCAAGGCCCTGGGTTGAGAGAATCCTTCATTTCTCTCTCTTCAGCCTTATTCAAGAAGTGCGGGTGACCTAAGGGACACTAGACCATAAACTTCTGAGACTAAGATATTATTCAAAGCACCCTCATTGTGAGAGCTCTTGCCACTGCCTTCCAAAGTCAAGTTAACACTTCATGCTTACTATGTACCAGGCACTGTGTACTTTATATGGATTATCTCAGGTTAGCCCGTGAGTTATACTCCATTGGCCTTATTCTACATTAGAAAAATGAAAGTTGGACAACTGGCCCAAGTTCACAGAGCTGGTTCATTGCCCTGAAGAGATTTGAAGGTCTAATTCCATTCTCAGCACTATGAACCACTGTTCTAGTCCTTGGGGTTAGAGCAGGGTGTCTGTGGATTTCCGTGAAATCCCCAGATCCACACACAAGCACATACACTAGCCCAAGTCTGGCCACCAGCATCACCTACCATTTCCTAACAGTGAGGCATCTCCCACTAAGGAAGATTCCCTTAAAGATTCAGACTGAACCCCACAGAATGAAATACATGGAAAAAAAAGTTCAAAATGCCTCACATTCAAAAGAGCCCAAGTTAAATACCACCATTTCATATTATGGAACTGACTTCTGATTTCCTGAAGTCCACCCAACAATAAAAAAAAAACAGGCCGTTCAGACCCTTTGTGAGCTTAGATGAGCTTTGAGACTTCATGGCTCTCTACAAAACAGCGGAACCATAAAGGAACCCATTCTGTTCTTGGGCCATGGAAGCCTATTTCATTCACAAGGAAAAAACACCCCGGACTTGGGAAAATGTTTTTCAAGCATTGATCCTGAACAAAACGCTGATATCTCAGACAATGTCATTCAACAGTGGGTCCTCTTTCACCTGTAAAATTGTCTCCAGTACAATTGGAAAGTGACAACTAACTCCATGCACCAACTTCAAGTAAGCCAAAGTACACAATAGTTTCCAAAGGACAATTTTTGAAAAAAAAAAAGACAGCTTGCAGACACCATGTGCCTTTGTTTTATATGAAGCTCTATAACCACATGCAGCATCCAAATGAAGTAAAAGGGAAAGTACTCGCTGTACAGGACAAAAACAATACCCTTTTATTTTTTTAAAACTCTGGTGAAATAGTTTTCAATATGACATCCCATTTTTTTAAAAAAATTAATGTAAACCAACCTGTGGGTTAGTCACACTATACAGACTTCATCAGAGTGTTTACAGATGCCTAGAATATTTACAAATGCTATTTGTTAGGTAGTAAAGTTTTGTTGCAATTTTTTCCAGCATGTATTCCACAGTAAAAGAAAGGGTGTATGTGGGTGTTCTTGTATAAAAATTCTTAACAAATGGAGAAAGGCAAATTTTCCTGAGAGAAGATTTGTTCTTGAAATAGTTTTTCTATTGGGAATATAGAAATGGGATGTGGATGTACAAGAAGCATAAGAATGTCTAAGTTAACATTTTTTCTTTTAAATTATTTTAAGTACCATTAAGTTAAAATGTTTACATTCATTATAAAAATGCTGTTAAATCTTATGCAAATGATTTAACACTGATTGCTGCAACGCAAATTGCACTTTTTTAAAAAATTATTGTATACATGGAAGAAAAATATCTTGTTTGCTACCCTGTTTACAAATTTCGACTGACCTCAGATCAGTCACACAAGATGAACTTCGAGAAATGTCAGTCACAGTGTACATTTAGAGTTTACTATGCAGTCTTGCAAATTGAGGAATTTTGACAAAAGAGTTCCAGGAACCCACTCAGCCTCCAGGATGTGTACCAAATGGCCTCCAATGATCTTCTCCATGAACATTTGTGAAATCTGCATGTGGAACGGGTATGAATAAATTCTGGAATAACCAAAATCGATTAGAAGAAACACATGGGGGACAATGCACGTAAAACCTTGTTTTCAAGATTCTTTGTCCATCTTCCTTAGCAGGCAAGGCCCTGGCCCAAGTCCCAGTTTTTGCAAGCCATGCAGGAGCTGACCCAAAGAAAGGCTGGCTGGAGGTGGCCCTGGCTAGATGAAGCAGGCCACATTCCTGCTTCACCAGCCCTTCCCCGGAAGAGTCGCATCTTCTATTCTTTTAACAAGCTTCATGGGGAAATATATCTCTTTCAAAACAAAGGCACAGAAATCACACATTGGAGGAATGTTCTGTCTGCATCGTTGCCACCATCTGGGCTGCTGGACAAAAATCAGACATAAGAGATGCAAGGACTTGGGTGGAGCCCTCCCTGCCTCTTGGCAGGAGGGGCTCAGGCCAGGGCCAGAGCACACCAGGAATCCTGTCGCACTGAGGATGTGACTTCGGCCGGCGAGGCCAGACTGACGCCTATGTAGAGCCCATCTTGACCTGAATACTTGAGCTCGCTGTTCTCAGGGTTGGTGCCCTCTCCTGCACCAGACATCACTGGGGCACCCGCCTGGCAAAACAGGAGGACAGAGAGAAGGAGAAATGGTTATTATTGCATCACTTTGTCGGCTGGCCCAATCCTGCTAGTTCAACACGAGAAATCCAATGAGCAGGGTAATTCCAGGGAGGCTGAGGCAGGAGGATCCAGGCCAGCCTCAGCAACTTGGTGAGGCCCTGTCTCAAAAATAAAAAATTAAAAGGGGTAGGGATGTGGCTCAGTGGTTAAGCACGCTGGGTTCAATTTATACCCCCACCCCCACCCCAAAAAAAAATGAGAGGTCATTGCAGCCAGGATGAGGGCTACTCCCAGGAGCATCCCAGGACAAAGAAAGAAAGTCTGCCTCGCTCATCCCTACACGGTACAAGCAGGAGCTTGCCACCATGTCACAAGATGCTTCACAGTGCCATTGACCTGACCCTGGCAACTTAAGCTCTGATCCTGTTCACTTCAGAGCGCTCAGTAACTAACCACTCAGCAAGGAAAAGGGGGACTGAAGGAATCCTATTTATAAATGTGCCAAACTCAAAGATCTCTGACAGTGAAACAAACCAAACCACACAGGTAAACACTGCATGGCCTAAATGATGCTCACACAACCTAATCACTTTGAAAGACAAAATGCAGAGCACTGCAGATACACACACATACACACACATACACACACACAGATTATGTCAAAGTCTAAAAAGGAAAGCTACACAGCTCAACATTCCCTGATACATGAAATTTTTGTGCACTGACTTCATGGAAATAAACCCATGCATAGACAGATTTTTAATATCGACCTCATTTACCTTAAGTCTTTACAAGAACAGGCCATGTTTGCAGCAGACCATGTCGTAAAAGAAAATGCTAACATCCTCTATCTGTCATGAGTATGGCCATTATTTCTTGAGGCAAAAGTTCACCTTTCTCTTTTCATTCGTTCCTCCCATCCAATCGAGAAGAGCCAAATATTAAACATTCCATAATTGAGTAGAATCAAACCAAAATAACTAGAATCGGTTTAGACTGTTTGAGGAACAGTTGCATTTGAAAGTGTTTCTCAAAACTCTAGCTATAACTATGTACTTTTTAATCACATATTTTTCCTTCTAAGTGCTCAGAAGCTCCTAATTGCTTCCAAGTTTTTAGGGTTCCATTTCATACCTTATTGAATGTTTCATTCACTTTTCAAACTTTTTTTACATTTTTGCATACATAATCCAATTAAATCCTGCAAACACATTTCTCTGCTACCTGATTGTTACCACTTCAGAGAAACCCAGACCATCAGACACGAGAGCTGAATATTGCACTTTGGATGAGCCTTCGTGCCTAAGAAGCAAATGTAGTCCTACTGGACTCCTTTTTCCAAGCAAGATCTGGTTGGCTTTATGCTTCTCACAACACCTTCATGAAGCAGAGGCACAGCGTAGGAGAGAAGCCTGGCAGTTCTAGTCCCCCAACTCGCTCTATGCCCACCCAAATGTCCTCCACAGGTACCAATTGATCCTCCCCTTTCCTAGCAAAACTAGGGTTTATGAAAATTAAGAACAATGGTACCCCATTATCCAAACTTTTGTTTAAATAACACAAATGTAGAAACAAAAACTGAGCAAGGACTTTGGATTCATGAAAAAAGGGGATTTTCACCAAGTTATTGAGATGTCTGAAATTTAAAATAGATTCTTGCAAAAACTTTGAAATAACTGCAAAATCCTATCAAATAAACAGAACACACAGGATTTGGTTATACTTATAAACATGATTAATGTTAGCTCTTAATTCCAGAATCTCCCACTATAAGCAAATCCAATGCAGGACCAGATTTAACCCCCAAATAAATAAACCAAAGGATGATATTCAATTACAAAAGAATGCTTTGTTTTAAAAAGGAACTATCAAGCCGGGCACCGTGGTGCATGCCTGTAATCCCAGCAACATGGGAGAGTGATGCAGGAGAATAGCAAGTTTGAGGTCATCCTGGGCAATTTAGAGAGACTCTGTCTCAAAATAGAAAAAAAAATGAAAAGAAAAACAAAAGAAAGGAGCTGAGGATGTAGTTTGTCTGGAGAGCACTTTTCCTGGGTTGGTACTAGTACTATTTAAAAAAAAAAAAAGGAACTATGGATTAAAAGAAAGCAAATTCCCTTATTGTGATTGATGTCAGACCCAGCTTTGCATAGATCTACCTCTTCTATAAAAGCACATCTGCAAGTCTCTGACTAAATGACTGCAAGTGCTATTTTAGAAGTAGCCCACCTGAAACAGCCAGAAGTACTAAGACAGTAGAGGGCTGACTTCACCACACAGCCAGCAACCGGGAACACTGTTAGCAAAGCCCTCACTGAGAGCCCTGCACTTGAACTAGGAGCTCCTGGCTTCGTGGAGAGCCAGGACACTTCCACACTAGACAGAGCAAGACCACTCAGTGGCCTATCGTGGCCAGTGAGTCACCAAGACAAGAAAGTAGTAGCACAAGAGTCTGCAGGAACTGCAGAGGCTTCCTCCGTGATGGGTGGAAGCAATGAACTTGAGGTCCAAAGTCATGCCCTGGATAGGTCACCTGCTGAGTGCAGTCACCTCCTGCAGGAGCCTCCTCTACATGTGGGTCCTCGCGTTACCTGCCACAGGTATGACTGCAGCAATTAACTGAGCTCATGTTTGTGACATCCTCAGCAGGATGCCCTATTGTGCTGAACAAGCCAAAGAGGAGGTTAATGTGACTGGTGAGAAGTAAGATTATGGTCCTGCCATAGAGCTTAACTTTTAATCTGAAGAAAGAAAACAGTAGTTTTCTAATAAGAGGACATGCAGGATGTGGGGCAGCGGGCACCTGGCCTGTTCAGCAGAGAAGCCCGCTGGAACAGAAGGGTTCAAGGGCATGGAAAGTGATCAGGTGGGAGAGGTAACTGAGCAGGACTGGCATCAAGCACCCTGTGCCTCAGTGCCCTCACAAAATGGAAATAAGAGGCCCTACATTATAAGGTCGTTATAAGAATGAGCTAAATACCTGACGTAAAGCCCTTATTAACATGGGACATTATTCTTTCACCTAAGCAACTATCCCAAAAGCTACCTGTTGAAATAACTACTGTTTTCTTTCTTCAGATTAAAAGTTAAGCTCTATGGCAGGACCAAAATCAGACATATGGTCAATGGGCCAACAAACCACAAATTATGTGAGTGATCTCTGAGGCTATAGCTCAGTGGTAGAGTTTTTCTAGCATGCTCAAGGCCCTGGGTTGGATGCCCAGAATTGGGGAGGAAAAAAATGGAATGAGAACTTGTGTCCATAGCTTGATAACCTTAAAATGATGATATAATAATATTATTTGTAATATTTCACATTTACATATTTAAATATAATATTTAATATAATATTTAAATATAATAATATTTAAATGTTAAATATTACTATAAGGCGAGTACCCCAGTCCCCTTGTCCATAGCTAGTGGTGCTATAGAGTCTGGTACAAACCTTACAGAGTGTGGCAGTTAGCAGTAGTGCCCAGGGCCATCAAGAAGTTAAACACGGCTTAACCCTGTAACTTCACTTATGGAAATCCTTTATAAAGAAATCATTTAAGAGAAAGGAAAATCTCCACAAAGGAAGCCAGCCACTGCCAGGCTTCTCCCGGTAGTGGAAACCATGGACACAAGCTAATGGCTAATAACATGGAAATGATTTGGAAAAGCAGGGTACACTCTCAATGAACGATTATGCAATTATTAAAAATAATGAGATCATGTAATAAGATGGAAAAATCCAATCATAGAATGTTAAATGAAAAACAGCAGGATATGAATTTTTTGTCCCATGCACAAGCTGTTAAGTACAAGGGAATCCATGAGCAGCAGTGCTATGAGCCTGTAATCCCAGGGGCTCCAGAGGCTGAGCAGCGGGAGGCACAACAACTAGGGGGCCAAATCTACAGCTTACCTTATCTTGGAGGTTTTTTTGTTGTTGTTTTTGTTTTTGTTTTGCTTGTTTGTTTGTTTGAGTTTTTTTTTTTTTTTGTACCAAGGCACTGAGCTACATCCCTAGTACTTTTTATTTTCTTTATTCTAAGACAGGAGTCTCACTAAATTGCTTCAGGCTTTGTTAAATTGCTGAGGCTGGCCTCAAACTTGCAATCCTCCTGCCTCAGCCTTCTGACTTGCTGGGATTTAGGCATGTACCACCACATGCAGCTAAGACAATCTAACTTCAGGGAAGATTAAATGATATTCATACCAGAAATATGCATAAACACTTAAGGGTCAACCCAGCCAGGGCAGGGTCATAAACTAATTTGAAAAACTAGAGAGGAATCAGAGTGAGGGGACTCACAGAGGGAATGGAGTGCCAGAAGCTGTCCCAGGAACCCCTGAAATCTCTCCATGTGGGAACTGGCTAAGTATGCACATGTGAAACACACTGCAGCCAAGTCAAAACATGGAAAACACTACATCCATGCATCAGAGGAAAATGGGATCAGAACTGGTCTATGTTACTGCAGCAACTCTCCTGAAGAAACCTGGCTCCTAATGCTCTGCAGCCAGTACGCGTACACACAAATGCACGCCCGCACGCACGCGTGCGCGCGCACACACACACACACATACACACACAGTAAAAAAAAACAAAGTAAGAATTTCAGTTGGTCAGTGTTTTCCCACATCTAATTAAACCCTTCAAAGGACTTCAGATGGCGGACATCTCAACATAGCAAAAGCAGACATGCCACAAACCTAATCAAACCTAAACAAATGTTCCTGAACAAAAGTAGAGAAGAGCTCTTCGGAATGCCCAGCAGCTGACCCATCCTTCCTCCCGAGGCTGGGCAGGCAGCTCGGGCCAGGCAGAGGTCCTTGCTCCCTCCTGATCAAAGTGCAATATGAGGGTGGAGCAGAAATCTGTTCTGTGTTTCCATTCACAGCTTATCTGCCCTCCACCCTCCCACAGACAACTGAAAATGGAGGCACTTCCTGTTGAAAGAATGTGTTATCAGCACCAGACCCAGCCCGGGCTTAGCACTGCATGC